GGGTGGGTGTGACGGTTGATTCGTCCCCCTACGGGGTGGGTGGAATGATTGGTGTCGGTTCACCCGTTGTCGAACAATGAACCCATGACGTGAACTTGCTAAGGAACCAAAACGAAAGCGCGAATCACGCCAAGGAACTAAAATGAAAATTGGGCATGCGCGCCATCACCATCCAGTTGTGGGTGTGTGCACAGGCAGTGCCGCGACTCTTTTTGTCATGAAAAAATGAAATGACTCTCGTCAACGGATATCTCGGGTCTTGCATCGATGGAGAACGTAGCAAAATGCGATACTTGGTGTGAATTGCAGAATCCTGTGAACCATTGAGTCTTTCAACGCAAGTTGTGCCCAAAGCTATTAGGCCAAGGGCACGCCTGCTTGGGTGTCATGCACTGTCACCCCCCCTCCGACCTCTCACCCGTCGGGCTCCGAGGGAAGGGGATGGGTGGAAGATGGCCTCCCGCGATCTCGTCGATCACGGTTGGCCTGAAAGTGAGTCCCCGACAACGACAGTGCCGTTATCGTCAGTGGTAGAGCTCTCGGTATGCCTCATCCCTGGTGACGCGTGCTCATTGTCCACCCGAACCCTGTCAGACCCCTCGTATCACTTGATCGATGCTCGCGTCGCGACCCCAGGTCAAGCAAGATCACACACTGAGTTTAAGCATATCAATAAGCAGAGGAAAAAAAACTTACCAGGATTCCCCTAGTAACGACGAGCGAACTGAGGAGAGCCCAGCTTGAGAATCAGGTGCCCCTGACGTTCGAATTGTAGTCTAGAGAGGCATCTTCAACAACGGATCGAGCCTAAGTCCCTTGGAAAGGGGCACCAGAGATAGTGAGAGCCCCGTTGTGCTTGGACCCTAGTAACGATCATGGAATGCAGCACTCACCGTCTCAATGTGCCTCGACACCCGTATGCTCCTAGCGTCGGCCTGCGGGCTCTCCATCTAGCCCGTCTTGAAACATAGACCAAGGAGTCTGACATGTGTACGAGTCAATGGGCTAGGAAACCCGTAAGGTGCAAGAAAGCTGATTGGCAGGTTCCCTCACAGGTGCACCGCCTACCGACTTTGATCTTTTGAGAAGGGTTCGAGTGCGAGCATACCCGTTGGGACAAAAAAGATGGTGAACTATGCCTGAGTGGGGCAAAGCCAGAGGAAACTTTGGTGGAGGCCCACAGCGATACTGACGTGCAAATCGTTCATCTGACTTGGGTATAGGGGTGAAAGACTAATCGAACTGTCTAGTAGCTAGTTCCCTCTGAAGTTTCCCTCAGGATGGCTGGAGCCCCCGTCGAGCTCTATCGGGTAAAGCCAATGATTAGAAGTGTCGGGGGTGCAACGCCCTCGACCTATTCTCAAACTTTAAATAGGTAGGATGGCATGGCTACTTCGTTGAGCAGTGCCACGGAATCAGAGCTCCAAGTGGGCCATTTTTGGTAAGCAAAACTGACGATGCAGGATGAACTGGAAGCCGGGTTATGGTGCCCAACTGTGCGTTAACTCGGAACCCACAAAGGGTGTTGGTCGATTAAGACAACAAAACGGTGGTCATAGAAGTCAAAATTCACCAAAGAGTGTGTAACAACTCACCTGCCGAATCAACTAGCCTCAAAAATGGATGGCAATTAAGCGCGTGACCTATACCCGACCGTCGGGGCAAGGGCTAGGCCTTGATGAGTAGGAGGGCACGGCAATCACCGTAAAACTTAGGGTGAGAGCCTAGGTAGAGTGACCGTCGGTGCATATCTTGGTGGTAGTAGCAAATATTGAAATGAGAACTTTGAAGGCCGAAGAAGGGAAAGGTTCCATGTGAACGGCACTTGCACATGGGTTAGTCGATCCTAAGAGACGGGGGAAGCCCGTTCGACAGCGCATCCCGTGTGAGCTTCAAAAGGTAATCGGGGTAAAATTCTTGAACCGAGATGCGACAGTTGACGACAATGTTAGGGAGTTTGGAGACGTCAGCGGAGGCCTCGAAAAGAGTTATCTTTTCTATTTAACGACCCGCCTACCCTGGAAACGGCTCAGTCGGAGGTAGGGTCCAATGGTCGAAAGAGCACCGCATGTCGGGTGGTGTCCAATGCGCCCCCGATGGCCCTTGAAAATCTAAAAAACCGAGTGTCGTCTGTGCCCAATTGTACTCATAACCACATCGGGTCTCCAAAGAGAATAGCCTCTGGTTGATGGAATAATGTAGGCAAAGAAAGTCGATAAAATGGATCCATAACCTCGGGAAAAAGATTGGCTCTGATGGCTGGGCACGGGGGTCCTAGTCCCAAACCCGTTGGCTGCCAGTGCACTGCTCGAGCTGCTACTGCAGTGAGAGCGGGTTGATGCATGCCGACTAAGGGAAAGACTAGGAATGATTCCCTCGAAAGCCTTCCTCGGATGTCAAACAGTCTACTCAGAACTGGTACGAATAAGGGGAATCCGATTGTTTAATTAAAACAAAGCATTGCGATGGTTGCTGCGGATGGTCACGCAATGTGATTACTGCCTAGTGCTCTGAATGTCAAAGTGAAGAAATTCAACCAAGCGCGAGTAAACGGCGGGAGTAACTATAACTCTCGTAAGGAAGCCAAATGCCTCGTCATCTAATTAGTGACGCGCATGAATGGATTAACGAGATTCCCACTGTCCCTGTCTACTATCCAACGAAACCACAGCCAAGGGAACGGGCTTGGTGAAATCAGCGGGGAAAGAAGACCCTATTAAGCTTGACTCTAGTCTAACTTTGTGAAATGACTTGAGAGATGTAGGATAAGTGGGAGCCCCCAAGCGAAATTGAAATACCACTACTTTTAACATTATTTTACTTATTCCGTGAATCGGAGGTAGGGCACGAACCCTTCTTTTGGACCCAAGGCTAGCCTCAACCAGTCGATCCAGGTGAAAGATATTATCAGGTGAAGAGTTTGGTTGGGGCGGCACATCTGTTAAAAGTTAACACTGGTGTCTTAAAATGAGCTCAACGAGAACAGAAATCTCATGTGGAACAAAAGGGTAAAAGCTCATTTGATTTTGATTTCTAGTACCAATACAAATCGTGAAAGCGTGGCCTATCGATCCTTTAGACTTTTTGAATTTGAAGCTAGAGGTGTCAGAAAAGTTACCACAGGGATAACTGGCATGTGGCAACGAAGCGTTCATAGCGACGTTGCTTTTTGATCCTTCGATGTCTGCTCTTCCTATCATTGAGAAGCAAAATTCACCAAGTGTTGGATTGTTCACCCACCAATAGAGAACGTGAGTTGGGTTTAGACCATCGTGAGATAGGTTAGTTTTACCCTACTAATGGTGGTGTCGCGATAGTAATTCAACCTAGTACGAGAAGAACCGTTGATTCACACAATTGGTCATTGCGCTTGGTTGTAAAGTCAGTGGCGTAAAGCTACCATGTGTTGGATTAT